GCCCTTTAAGAAGAATCTTGTCTGCCATCTGCTGGACACTTTTTGTTGTGCTCATATTTAGACGTCYTATTTTGCAAATGCTGCCTTCCTGAAATTTGGTATGCTTGTTTGTCTTTGTGTCTATGGTGTAATAATAATGATGTGATTGTGTTGCTGTAATTCTGAGTGTTTTATGTGCTGCAGAACAGGAACCTGCTGTAAAACAGCAATAATGCTGAGTCAGGCTTGATTTTTAATAATCTTTTCCTGTTAAATAAATAAATCAAATCAAGTTCACTTTCTGTCAAACAAACAAACAAAAATAAAAACTCGTAAAGTACATTTGACGTCATTCATCAATATTCAGTTTAAGCTATTTACCAGTGGTGGGCAGCGCTAATCCAAAAATTAGCTCCACAATTTTTAAAGCGCTGATGAAAATATTTAGGTCCGCAACCTCAAAAGCGCTTATGCCATAGAAAAACTAGTGGAAGTTAATTTAAAAGCGCAAGTTCAATTTGACACTTAATAGCTGACAATAATTCACGTACAATATATGCACAACACTGCCATTTAGAGGTGTATGAACTCATTTACAGCTTAATCCTACAAGCATCAATTGCTGGGGATGTGAGTTCCTGAACCAGACCTTTAGCTCCTGGTGTAAAAATTAAAAAGTTGATTGCTAGTTCGGCTGCTTCTTTTTTCTTTTGTTTGTTGTAGTTTTTTTCATTAAAGAAGCATCAATAAAGTAATTTTAAAACTGTTTATTGGAAAATGAAGCGATGCATTCTGGGTACATGACAGATTTGATTTGTGACAGGAAACGAAAGCACGGAGTACAGGAAACTATCTTCCTTTCAAAATAAGAGCTTGGATTTTAAAGTTTTCCATGTAGTTGGTCCAGTTGACCCCTAGATGTCAGTCTTCATCAGCATATCATCTTTAAATCATTTCTGTGTCTCTGACCCAGTTGCTTCGACCAATTATGTCATGTTTTGTGCTCCAGCGTTTAAACTTTATTTTCTTTAAAAAGGGAGCTCCGATTGTAAAGTAAAATAAATCAATATATACAAAAAAGTTAGTAAGACCGCTAAAGTGCAAATTAAATTATTTGGGTCCTCAATTAGCGGATTTGCGCTTTAGTGGGCTGGTGCCCACTACTGCTATTTACTATTAAATTTAGACGTAAGTGTTTTGGTGATGCATTGTGTTTTGTTCCAGCTGGAGTCAGAGTCCACTGAACGTCCCTCCACCAAACATGCCCACTTATTACAACCCCTTGACACTAATGTGGTGGCAGCAGCTGTACTTCAGGCAATACTACATGCATTAGTAAGTCCATTCCTGTTTGTTTCTTTAATCGCATTGAGTATTTTAAAAGTTTATATATTTTTTAAACAAAGAGTAGAGTTGTTACAGTCGACCTCCTGTTTCCTGCAGTCAGTTACTGGCTGCCTCCTCCCAGCACCTTAGACCCGACCAGCCCAGTTCAACTCAATCCAACCAGTCTGATCCTCTGAGCCGGCGGCCGCAAGCGGGACGCCACGGCAACCCGGAAGTCCAGATGAACGCCCAGGGAGGGGAGATCCTGAACGAGGAAGAGCTCAACAGGGACTGGCTGGACTGGGTGTACACATTTTCACGTGCTGCCATTTTACTGAGCATAGTTTACTTCTACTCATCCTTCAGCCGCTTCATCATGGTGATGATGGCCATGCTGGTGCTCTACCTGTGAGTGACCTGATTATCCTTCTTTACCCTGCTACGTGTGAGGTTTTATATTTATCATTCTTTCTGGTGGTGTCCTGTGTGCAGGCATCAGGCCGGCTGGTTTCCCTTTAATCTGGAGAACGACTTGCAGCTGCCTGGAGACAGGCCCAATCAGGAGGACGAGGAGGGAGAGCAGCAAAATCAAGACTTGCAGGAAATGGTAAATGCCTCCCTCATCCAGAACTTTGAGCTTTTTTTTTTTTTATAAACACAGTGGTGTCCAAACCTGGTTCACCAGGACTAGGGCTGGGTATCGATTCAGATTTCCCAAATCGATTCGATTCACAACGATTCACGATTTAGTTTTATTGATTTTTTAAATTAGTTAACGATGTCAAGCAGTAACACATTTACTTTGAAATAGAAGACATTCTCAAAGGAACCAATTCTGCAAATAGAAACTAATTCTAACTTGGTGCATTGGTAAAATTATAAACATTAAGGGCAAACTTGTAAATTGGAGTTTAATCTTGAAACAAAACTGTCTCAAGTTTTAAAGGGTTTAAACCAGGGCTTTTCAACTGGTGGCCCACGGGCCACATCCAGCCCCCGAGTGACCAAATTTCGGCCTGCCAATTGGTTCATTCATCTCTTAAGCCCAAACCCCCGGTTTTCTTCTTTAATTACTCTTAAGTTCTTTTAGTTCAACATAGACATGTTTGGTATGTACAGAAACGTCAGAATCTTGGCTAGAAGCTGGTAAAAACCATTTCTATGAATACTCAAGACAGTAAAACTATGAGCAGTTGAAGATAAAATGATGAAAGTGAAGTTTAAAAATTTGTCAAAGTCAGAGATGTCAAAATATTACTGTCAAATAGGAGGCATAATGTGTTCGTTTTGTTTTTGATATTGTTTAATTATCACTACTTTTATAGGGTTCTGTATGTTGTATTCATGATTAAATGCAGCAAAATAAACTTAATTCAAAGGTAACAGATCTTTCTTTGTAATACTTGTTTTATTTACATAATAACTTTAATTTCTGGATGTTCGGCCCCTCAGCTGTTGACCGGCAGTAACTGTGGCCCCCAGAGCAATTTAGATGAATAGCCCTGGTTTAAACTAAAAAGGAATTGCAAGAGAAAGTGTTGTTGGATACATTAGATTTTTAAGAAACTAAGAATAATTTTCTTGATCACTAAGAAGTGATGGAATAAGGTTACAGGAGAAGAGGTGGGCTCATATAAGTGTATACTTCTGCCCACTCTTTTGAGTGTATTAAAATTGTTTGTTTGTAATGTTTCTGTTACCTTCTGCTAAATAAAATCTAACAAGAAGAAAGAAAAAGAAAAGAGTGCTTCAGCTAAAACATTCCATCACTGTGAATTACATTATGATTTTCCTAAAATTTAAAAATAATATTGGTAACAAAACTGAATGATTTTGTTAGACTGTCATCATTCACACATTTATACATATTGTATAGTGGTATTAATGTATATTTTCAGATCTTCCAAGGTGCCAGTTATGGAACTCTCTGTGCATTGCTGCCCAAATCAAATTCTGGAAGTGGTCATTCAACTAGATCTGTTATCAAAAGGACAACTGATATTACCAACTTTTAAAAACTGTTACGGCCAGAGGTCTTTCTTCTATGTTTATACCAAAGCATGGAATGACATTCCTCAAAACATAAAGTCCATTTCAAAACTACAGCCCTTTAAGAAGAATCTTGTCTGCCATCTGCTGGACACTTTTTGTTGTGCTCATATTTAGACGTCCCAATTTTGCAAATGCTGCCTTCCTGAAATTTGGTATGCTTGTTTGTCTTTGTGTCTATGGTGTAATAATAATGATGTGATTGTGATGCTGTAATTCTGAGTGTTTTATGTGCTGCAGAACAGGAACCTGCTGTAAAACAGCAATTGTGCTGAGTCAGGCTTGATTTTTAGTAATCTTTTCCTGTTAAATAAATAAATCAAATCAAATCAAGAGGAGAACAGTTCAGTCAGATATTTACATACAGTAGTTTTGGTTCGAGCCGCTCGAAGCTTTGTTTCCCGCTACCGCGTCCGAGTGCAAATCTTTGCGAACAAAAGTCGTCATGGCCTCTGTTATCTTTAAGTTCACCTGAGAATCAGCTGTAATGTTAGTGATTCCTTTGTTTCTTTTGTTTTGCCCCAGACAACGTGTTGTCGGGAGCTAATATTAGCACTGAGCGACAAACGGATGTAAACCTACGGCAAGCCAGGTGTGACACACAACATGGAAATGCGCAGCTTCACCACACACAACACCCATGGGGAGAAATCGATCTCGTGACTTATGAATCGATTTTCCCAAATTTGAATGAAAATCGATCCAGATCGATTAAATCGATTTTTTTTTAACCCAGCCCTAACAACGACCACTATCCTGCACATTTCCTTGCTCCTGCTATCCACACAATAAAAGTAAGATTCAGTAAAATAGGTACTTTAGCCTAAAAAGAATCTTCTTGGCGAACGAGATCCCATTTCTATAAACTACCTGCATGCGTTGAGCATTCAGAACAATGTTCTTCTTTTGTGAGTTATTTAACTGTGTGGCTATCTTCTTACACATTCAGGTGCCAGCTCGTTTTTACATGTAGCTATCTAATAAAACATCTGAAAAGTCAACATGAGTCACGTTTCAGTCCTAATCAGACTCTGATTTGTCCACTCAGGAAGGAGCGAACGATGACGGCTCCGACGACGACGACGGAGAGAGCGGAGAGGAAGGTGCAGAGGATCCGAACAGCGTCCCAAACGCAGGCTTCCTGTCCTCCACTTGGTCCTTCATCATAACGTTCTTCATGTCACTCATCCCAGAAGGGCCACAGAATGCCGCCAACTGAACGCTGGGGCGCCACGAGCCGCTGCGGATCTCTGAAGAGGATGACTTCCTGCTTAGGAACTGTTCTATTAAGATGCTGGTTTCCCAGACTTGAGCTGAAATACAAACAACCCATCCAGACTAGGAAAAAAGGCAGTATTTTTACATTTTTCTTTTTTTAGGTTTGGTCGTCTTCATAGTGACAAACATTTCAAATTGTCAAATGACACTAATATAAGATGATGGACTGAAATAGCTGTTGATGCCTTCTAAACAGAAACGGCATTATGAGGAAAAGAAAAGAGAACTCTTGGTGAGTTCATCAACTTATTTTTTAAATAAGCAGCAATATATGTTTAAAAGGTTTTGGTTGTGGTGGGTGTATCAATAAGACACTTTAAAATGGCCACTTTAGTAGAAATATTAAGTCTGTGAATAACAATAACGAATCGTCGCACTTATTATGTATTAAACGGCATAAAGTGAATTTGGTCTGAAGGTTTCCTGGTGTGTACTGTGCTGAGCTGTAACCCGATGTGGTTTAAGGGTTTGTCTTTTGACAAAACTGACTTTTGAGAAACTGAACAGAAGGGGGCGACAGAGTGTAAAGTACGGACGTTGCAACATTTAATGGAAAGTTTTTGTAATGTAGATAAAGAGGATGAAATATGCACTGCCAGAATGCAGAAAGGCAAACGATGCATCTATTAAGCTCTTGGAAATGACTGCTGCTGTTACTAACGTGAAAAAAAAAAAAGAATTTTGTTCATGTTTATTAAAACTACATGATGTGTAATGTCTGGTCATTTCTCACTAAAATGATGATGCGTTAAAAACTATGTTTTAATGTTCCTCAGACGATTTGACGTGCAGAGGAGGGACAGTAGAGATATAGGAGGCTGTTACGAGATGCAGCTTCCAGGGTAAAGAGCAGATCTCTGCAGTCAGAGAGGACAGAGTGAGGTGGAGGATGACTCACCGAGGCGACCCCTGAAGAGTGAACAGCTGAAAGATGGAAGGTGAAGTTTTTTTTTTTCTTAAATACTCCTTAACAGAAAATGACTTTGGTAAAAAGTAAATTATACTGATAAAAATCACAAAACTGCTCACAATAATCAGGAAACTAAAAGTAATTTTACACACACTTAAAATATAAAGTGTTAAATTGACCTAAGTTCATGTGGTTCCACTTTACAACAAGGCTCCCCTAAAAAATAGTTTATAGATAGGTTATTAATTTATCTGTAAACACTATAAATCAGTAAGTGTTTATCATGCATTGGTTAATGAGGAGAAAGAGACAAAGCTGTCTGGTTTCTTGCCAAATATTGAGCCAAATCTGTTCATGCACATATTTCATCTAAAGGTGCTATTAAACATTTCAAACCTTGTAAGCACAAAAATGATTCGGAAGCACATCACATACATATACTGCATTGTACATATCCACAACCATCAAAGGGAGCCTTATTTAAAAGAGTAAGACAGGTGTTTACAGATTAATAATAACCTATCTCTAAACTACTTATAAGCCATCTATAAGGGGAGCATTGTACCTTTTAAAGTGCATAAACAACTCTTTTCTGGTCAAATTTGAATTTGTAGTGTGTAATGAGATATTAAATTATAAAGTAAAGAAGTAAAGTATAATTTTTATGTTTTGAATGTAACAAAATAAAAGTAAAAATAATGATTTAACAAAAACACAGATTCTCAAAAAATGACCTGTATTTAGTCATGTATAATACTAGAAATTTAACCCTAAAGATCACAGATGGGGGGGGGGGGGGGGTAGTATTATACATGGGAGTAAATTTTGACAGATCTTTTAAATGCACAACCACGATATCTCCTTGTATAAAACTGAAATATTCCCCTTCCATCCGATTATTAGACTTTCTGGTTCAGATACACAGAGACAAACTCTGTCAAAATTAGATCACAAGTTCAGAAAAAAATCAAGAAATCAGTAAAAATGATCAGAACTGTCCAAAGATAAGAAGTGTAAACTAGTTGCAAAAAAGCAATTTAGGATTTCTTGGAAAGTCCTTCAAATCAGACATGTGACCTGATCCCTGGTGTAGTTTCTCGTGTGACAGTCTGAATTAGTTCAACCTCGAACACCTTTCATTTCCACTGATGACGCTGTCGGAACATTTCAAACCCAAGCATCAGTCATTCGCTCCTGGAGCATAATAAATTTGTAATAAATGATGGAAATTTATTCGAGTTCCAGGAACGCTCAGAAGTCATTGACACGTGCAGTGAGGCTGAGACAAATTCAAAGATTCTGCAAATTTTTTCACTGTGGCTTGAACATTGCTTCAAGTGAAAGCCACTTAAAATGGATTCTTCTTTTCTTTTTAGTCTTACAGTACTTAAAGACACAGATAATCAAACACTGAGCACAATCGACAGGGGGAGTCTTATTAATCTAATAACCTTCAGGTGTTTGTCAGAAATGTAAGGACTGAATAAGTGATGTAATGATTAGGATGGAGTTTGTTCTGCAGCATGTAATGTAGATCTCAGCTGCCCCCTACAGGCAAGAAAAGATACATGGCCTCAGCTAGAAAAAAACTAACAGCAAACAGCAGTTTGCTTTTCTTTGCAGAAATATATATTTTCATTTTCCCCATTCTTTTCCCAGCATTGGAAATATTAAATTCCCTACTTCTCAAGGTACTCCAATGAACTGCTAACATTAAGGCAAAAATAAAAACAGCAGAAAAGGAGAACGTGTTCATTTTATTGCTTTGCAACATTCAGTCGTGACAGAGGAGTCATCAACTAAACAACAGGATGCAAAGTTCTTCACCAATGGTTTGTGCATCAGTAGAAAGGATTCTGAAGGATAATTATCACTTTGTTTTGCAGATTCTCTTTTCATTCAAATTTATTAGTTGTTTTTTTCTAATTGAAAGTGATACTGTGGAAATAGGGTCTTTAATAAACTATATAATTCCAACTTTCTACTGATTTATGTTAAATACCATGAGTGAAGAGTAATACCTTTACATTACTATTTATTGTTTTGGCAAAATAAATAAATACACATTTATTTCTGACAATGACGCCACAATAATTTAACATTCACTAGTTATTTAAATATAAAACTCTATCTTAATATTCTTTTTATTGTTGTGGTGAACAAATACAAGAGCTGTGACAGCGGCACAGACAGATAAACAGCATTTAGTTACATTTGTAAATGGAAAATAGATTCATCTTTTTCCCGAACACGACAACAAACAGAAGCATCTGCGACGTTTATGGAACGAATGGACCCATCTTTGGAGCCTGTGTGCCGTCACCTGTACATCGTCTCATTTTCACACTTTGCACATAAAAGAGCTTCAACAAGGCACATAAGCTATCGTTTGTGGAATCGCTACACACAGAGCTGATGAAACACGCGCACAAAATGTTTCACAGACATTTTCGTTGCCAGAATATTAAAGGATTTCATGAGTCCAAACGTTGAACTGTATTGGAATACTTATTGCTAAAACATGACTGCACTTAGCAAAATAATAATGTAAAAAAAAACACATTTCTAGAATATGACTCTTTTTTTCTTACATATCCAGTAGAAATATTTTTGCATAAACTTATCTGTAACACATCTTTGTACGACCAACAGATTCACAATACAGACAGTATAGAAACAAGTGCAACTACCTGAGATCACAAATATTCTCTTCTTTATTTGCACTTTAATGTATTTTATTATTTAAAATTGTTTCAACGTCCGCGACAAAAAAGAGGGCAGGTAATTGCTGCCTGGTGTCAACATAAAAAAATAAATAAATAAAATCATGACCATAGTCAGAAATCATTCAAGACTCTTGAGTTTGAACTACGTTCCTAAAAAATATTGCGGGAAATAAAAGATTTTTCTTTTTTTATGAACACAATAGAGTTTGTTTAATCATAAACCTTCCTATGAAAGTGCTCACTGTACAGTACAGACTTTATATGGCCTCTAAAGTGGCTTTTCTATTACAATTCAAATGAAAAGTACAGTATTCACACAGATAAAATACTTCATAACAGATATTACGTGGGCTGAAGAGTGAAAACGCCTGACCAACGTCTGAGCAGCAATACCAAAAATACTGTGTGAAAGAAGGTTCCTCGTACAGAAGACCAGGATGTACGCAGTGGTGGTCTGAATGTGGCTCTGTTTTTGGTTTGGATCACTGTGCAAACCAGAATAAAATCAAACATTAACAGTACTTCAATGGCTTTTTCTTGTTTTTTTTTTTTTTTTTAATTTTTTTAGGCTGGTGTTACCATAAAATGATTCAACCCTAAACAGTGTTAGCATCTAAACCAGAAATAGTACAGTACCAGCTGAAATGTTTACAGTAAATCACAATAAAAGTAAAGTTCGGTTCATACAGGCTGATATTCCCATCATTAAGGCCGTTCCTTTGACATCCGCTTTGACGTGAGAGATCAGAGATGTGTCGGTGGAGAATAACAGCAGAATTCCTTCATACGACCTGGTGATGTGTTGGACATACTTCCCGTTTCTGTGAGAGAAAAGCAGAGATTGTTGTGCTCCAGGTCCTCTTCGCCCTGCCGACGAGCTCCGTCTCGGTGTGAAAATAGTCCCCCTCCATTCAGAGGAAGGTCTCGGTGGTGGAGCCCTCTCCTGGCGTGTCCGGGCCGATGTCAACTCGAACGCAGGCGATCTTCTCTTGGCTGTTCAGAGGTGAAGAGAAAGGAAATGAGTGCTTGTGTAGATTTGAAAAGATCAAAGTCTGTTGGGTGAGATTAATACGAGGTGGATGGTGGTACCAGTTAGTGCAATGGTTCCCAACCTGGAGTCTAAACTAAAAGAGGCATCACATATGTGACCCATCATATTGAAATGAGGATTAAGTCAAATTTGGTCAAAATTACCTAATTATATTTTCAGATTCCTGGCTTTAAAAGCTACATTTTGATACCTGGATCATTCTGATATAAGCTTATCCAGAGATATGACTTAATTTGTCTTGTTGGTTACAATAATACATTACTGTTTTGGTCTGAATCCTAATTTTAGGTGAATTTATTGAGTAATTTTTTATGTTAATATAAAAAGGAAACCTGAAATATTATTTGTATATTAAGATTTCCTAGTTGGAAAGAAACAAAAACATTGCTAGCTCACAGGGAAAAATTTAAAATTTTAAGGCGTTTTTCCTCAAAATCAGGTATTTTTGTTGCTACTTCTCAAAAAAATGCTTCAAAATAGTTTTAGGATTAAATTTTAGACAGTTCAATCAAATGATACATTGATAAGGCATTAATTCATTATGTTTTGACAAAATGCAATTTTTGCAAAATTTGCACTTGTTTATATCAAAACCCTATTTCTGCCTATTTCTCCACATTCTACTTTTGGACTTAATCCTTTGCAAAGAATTGCAAACATACGAAAAGAGTGCAACTTTTACGTAGATACAGTGGTTTGCAAAAGTATTCATACCCCTTGAACTTTTCCATATTTTGTCACATTACAACCACAAACATAAATATATTTCACTGGAATTTAATGAATACCAACATGTTTTGTATAGATGAGGCAAATTTAAATTAAGACATTTAAAGAACCATTTTTTC